GACATCCTAGGGGCGAGGAACATATCCCCAGGATGAGGAGCACCCAGATTGACACCCCAGGGGTGAGCAGAGTGTCCCCAGGACAAAGAGAACCCCCCAGGGTGACATCCTGGGGACAAGGAGGTGGCAGTACCTGGAACAGCTTGCGGCTGGCCGCCTTCTCCTGCTCCCGGCGCTGCGAGCTGCTCATCATGGCATCGTAACAGGCGTTCCAGAAATTGGACATCAGGTCGTGGCTCCTGGCAAACGTGTCCATCTCAAACTGGGCCATGGTGGGCTGCACCTGCACGGGCAGAGAGGCATTCCCAGGGCTTGGCACAGCAACAGGCAACCCCACAGCGACCATCCCGCCCCGCGGCACCCACGTGCTTCTCGATGAAGCCCCTCCACTCCGGGGTGGTGCAGAAGAGCTGGAAGTCCTCGTAGAAGGTGGGGCTGCCGTTGGTGGGGGGCAGCGAGGGCAGGAACTGCTGCAGCTGCAGGGTCTCGTAGCACTGGTCCATCAGCGTGCGGATGATGGGCACCAGCCAGGAGAAGGCCTCTGACCTGGAGTGCAGGGAGCGCCGCAGGGGCGTCTCCAGCTTGCCCAGCAGGTAACAGGCCTCGTCCCTGCGCGGGGCCGACGTGGTCTGCAGGAGGCTGTGCAGCTTCACGTAGGCCAGGGAGTGCAGCTGGGGGGACAGGGGACATCAGGCGGGGATGCCTCACTTTGAAGCAAATTTCTTAAAAGAAGGGAGGTCTTAAGTGTTGAAGCCGTAATTAGGGGTAAATTGCTGTCCTAGGGGAAGATTTGTTCCACTTCCTCATTCATTTTTGGTAACATGTAAAATTCAGTAAAGTGTTTTAAGTACACTACATGCTATGCCAGTTTATATTCATTTGTTTTGTGCCTCCCAAGTAACACGATGAAGGCGAACCCAATTTATTATGACAAACTACGCAGGTAATTAGAACCACGTTTAGATCAAATCTATTACTCCACTAAATCTGCATTTAAAACGAGCAGCAAATGGACTTCATGGGGTGCTCAGTGTAGCAGAGAGGGGTGCCCAGGGAGGGTGACCCACCTGGGGGTCCTGCAGCAGGATGTACCCCACGAGCACCCGCAGCCCCGTCTGCGCCATCTCCTTCAGGTCCGAGGTGCCGTTGGCCAGGTGGTGCCACACGCCCAGCTTGTCCAGCAGGCTGCTGACCCCCTCGTAGATCTGGGGGGGACACCGTGAGACCCCAGCCCGGGCAGGAACCCCAACCCTGCCGAGCCAGCAGCCCCACCACCCAGCCCTGCTCGGATTCGGGTTTGGGTTCAGGATTAGGGTAGAACACAACTCATGACAAACCAGGTTTGAAATGAGGTTGGGGCTCAGGATTTATGGTCAGGGGTCAGATTTAGGGGTATAGGGTTGGAGCTGGGATTCAGCTTTAGGACAAAGGAATAGCAGTAAGGTTTAGGATTAGGATGTAGGAAGTACAGTGAGATCACAGGCCATGAGTTAAGGTTAGGGTTTAGGTTTATAGAAAGAGTTAGGTTTAAGATTAGGAATTAGGGTTGGGCTTTATGACAAAGATGTGGAGTTAAGGTTTAGGATCATGATCTAGGAGGAATAATTAAATTGAGAATTAGGGGTTAGGAATAAGGTTTAAGGATTAGAATTGGGGTTCAATTTACGATTACAAATAAGGCAGAGGTTATTTCCTAAAATTAGGATTAGGCTTTGAATTAAATCAATTAAATTGAGGCTGAGGTTATTTCCCAAGGTTAGGATTAGGCTTTGATTTCAATTTAGGAATAAGCCTGTCCCTAAACCAGGACAGGTTGTGCTCAAGTTCTGCAGGTGGGGCTGGTTTTAGGGCCAGGGCTGACATTGGGGATTAGCAGAGGAATCCCTGCTCACTCCCATCCACCTTCTCGCTCCACAGGGCCTGGTTGTTGTGTCCCTCGGAGAAGAGGAAATCCTGGAGCAGCCGCAGCAGCTTCAGGGCGTTGTGGGTGAGCCCGGGCAGCGCAGCCGGGCCC